TTTTTTATTTATTTTTTTTTTTTCGGTTTCAGCATCACTGAATCACAAATACAAATATACAAATGATGATTGTGTGTGGTTTTTGTTATCCTTTACATGTTGATACAAGGCCTAGCTCTTATCCTATCTGTGGTCAACTAAAAATCCCAAATATGCGAGGCAAAACAACAAACAGTATTGTATGTACACATGGAGTATTGTATAGCCAATGATTGGGCTAGTAAAATAGCCTGTGGGGTAATGAAATCTACATAGAACAAGCTCAGTTGGCTAGTAAAAAAAAAAAAATGAAAAATTCAGCCAAGTTATAATATTATGTACGTAAAAACTAAAGTCTAAAGCCTTGTTCGCACTGGATTTAAAAAATGGTAAATTTAACCAGGGTAACTTTAACCAAAGTCATGGGTACATTTCACCATTGTTCGCACTTGGATTATTTACGCGGTTAGTTTTACCATAGTTTTACCAAGATTTAACCTTGTGTATAAAAAGTTTGTGACTTCAACTTCCGGTTTTGTTCGAGCAATGTCAACATGGAAGAAGACAGAATGGCTTCAGGCAAAAAAACAAAAAAAAACCGAAACTGGACATACGAGGAAACTATAACTTTGATAAATTTATGGGGAGGTAGAGAAAGCCAGGCAGGTCATGAACTCAGAAAGTTTTAACCATGTTGCACGTTCGGATTGGACTTCTTGACCAGCGTGGTTAGTTTAACCGAGACCGTGGTAAGTTTTACTGGGCAGGCTGAGGTCGGTAAAATTAACCATTCGGCTTGGTTAATTTAACCCTGAGGGAATTGTAACCGACGTTCGGATTGGATTTTTTTTGGTGACACTACTTCTGTCACTGTCTCTGCATACAAACCTGGCAGCTATTTGCACAGATTTCAGTCTTTATGTGAGGTCCTTACTTAAAGGGTCCTATACTGTGCAACTGTATTAAGTTATGTTACTATGTTATGTATTTTAAAGTCAGATGTTATCTTAAGCCCCTATCGCACTGGACTTAATTTGGTCAAATTAACCGAATTAATGTTGCAACACCTACACTCTTCAATTACGTCAAAAAGCATACTGACAAAATTTCCTTTAAAAAAAAATCATCAATAGCCAAGTTGCATATCAGTGCAAACTTTCCTCACTCCAGTTGCCCACACCACCTGTCGCAAGAACTCAACAGCATTCAATATACCGAGAGCTATCAAAAACTGTTACAAATAATCAATTTCCCTAATTGTAGAATAGAATAATCTTCCTTCTTCTTACTCATCACCCTTTGCGTTTGACTTCAAGTATAAAGTGTTGTGAAGAATTAAGCACTACTTTTTTAACCATTAACTCATTTTGTCTTCGATCACTTCATCGTTCAACTGTCTTAGTGAAAAGGGAGGTAATTCCTCCCCTGGGTTTATAGCCTCTCTACTCAAACAAATATACACACAGGTTGCTTAATTTTTAATAATATATTACAAATTGATCATATATAATGTATGTTAATATATTATCATGTATAGAATTATATGTATATTAATGCACAGGGGAATTTGGGTATGATGCTTCTCACCATACATGTAGAGCCAAGACATGTCTCTTGGACTTGCATGATGTATGGGCCCTAACCTTAAGGTGTCAAATACTGTCAGTTCATGCTGTCACTCTATTTTGTGTTTCAATCTGCTCATTCTTCTATGCTGATTTCATAACACATTCATCTAGGTGAAAAGGGAGGTACTGTCCTCCCCTGGGTATAAAGCCTCTCTACCTCCTCTAACACAAGGGGAAGTAATACAAGTACTGTATTTAAAAAGAGAATCAATGCGGATGTATTGCTTAGTTTTTACAGTAGTGTAAATGCACTCCATGATACAGATTGATGTTACAGTGGCCCTATTTATTGTTTTATAGTACTGATTCGCAAAATTTACAGCATTCATTTTGAAAAGAAGACCAATCTTTACATTGCAAAATTGGCCTCAAAAAGAAGCCCATCCAAAACAAAAAACAAAAAACAAAAACAAAAGCCCATGGCTTAAATTCAAGGTTTTAATATAGCACTCTCATGGTATCTACTATAAATACATTTAATGCAGATCAAGGAATGATATAGAACTATAAAAGAGCCCTGCTTAAAAAAGGTGTGATTTAGAATCACCTTCACAATTAAAAAAATCAGGCCTTAACAGGAGTGTCAATAAAGCATGTCTGTTCTCGACGACAGTAGCAAACAGAATGTCTGTGCATGGCGTCTGCTTATACTCTCTAAAAAGATGTAAATATGTATCATCACATGTTATACAAGGCCTATAATTTGGTGTTGATTTAAGTGCTAATTTCTCATTGACTCATTCTATTATAGGTTTGTGAAACATGCTCTGATAGAAGCCCACAATAAAATTCTATCAAGAAAAGTCCTGTCACCGATTTGATAATACCAGGAATCCATTTATTGTATCCACGATACTCTCGTACAGCTACAGTTTCCCCTACTGTGAATTTGCGCACATTACTTGGAGACTTTTTCTCCATTTTCTCATTCACGACATCCACCTTCCTCGCAATGTTTTGTTTGTTTTAATGCTCTCTGCCTAAGAACAACTTTGCAAGTGTTTCTTGGGTTGTGGTTTGTGGAGTTGATCTATAATAGACCTTTCCGGGCTGTCAATCAAACTTCCAAGTAACCAATCAGAACAAGGCATATACGCGCTGTTTACAAACACGTTTTCCACACAAACACGCACGAATTACGAGTTTGTGCAGTGCGAGAAGCGACGTCGATATGACTATGCAGTACAAGAAAACCCTTACCATGAAGCCAAAAAAAGAGAACAAAAATTGTCTAGGCCTACGGTTGAATATGGCTTGTGGAAGACGGCATGTCCTATATTTCAACAGGGTAAACAAGCATACAGCTCAACGGTAGGATTTCATTTATTTAAGTTAAGTGAGGCCTACAAAAATAATCGGGTCTCGTCTCGGGGTTGGCCTAGCCACAATGCCTAGGCCTACATTTTAAGATATTCGACCTCAGCAGCTGCATTCCGCGATGGATCGCGCCTGATATTAATTTTTCTAATAAATTGTGATCTATAAATAGATTGTCAGGAAAATATTCAACAGTAATGACAATGCAGGCCTTCCCTAGGCAGCTTAGATTAGGCCAATGACAGTAGGCCCTAAAATGTATTTTAATCCTTAGCCTAGCTGCCTCTAATATGCAAGAGATTTTTGTGTTACGTACAAATCATTAATAAATACAATATACTTTTTTTCATAGCATTTTGTTATTGGAGAATGGTCAAACTATTGAATATCCTGACCCAGTAAATAAATGCAGATGGAACAGTACCAACCGTGCGTAGACGTCCCCTACCAGAAATCGTCGCTCACATCACGAACTAACACAATTAAATTCAATTGTGTTAGTTCGTGAAATCAAAAAAGCGCGTCAAAATACGCGCTGTTGTCGTTAAGGACTTTTTGTGTGGTAAAGAATACAAAATTGCTTGACAACCAATACGCGCTCTTTTTGACGCGCTACTGTGATTTCACGAACTAACACAATCTACTTTGATTGTGTTAGTTCGTGATGTGAGCGACGAAATAGAGAAACCAAAACAAAATATCACAGAATGTAAGTTAGGATAGTCATGAGTAGATTTTTCATATGATTAAAAAACGGTAACTGTAGGCCTACAGGGTTTGGTATACAGGAGTTGGTGCTGAAGTTTGTTACCACTTGTATTGTAAACTTGAATATTATTAAGAAAAGTAAATGAAGAGAATAATGTTGGCAGCATATGTGCAATATAAAAAAAAAACAATTGTAAAATAAAGAGTAACAATTTTAATAGATAATGCATAACATTGAGAACATATTATTACAACTATCACTAAATTAATTATATAGCAATATATTTTAAATATAAAATTGTATTACTTTTTTTTATCAATCTTTAGTTTTCATTTATAATGCTGTATGTATTATTAAAAGGTTGCTGATAAATTAAAGGTAAAAAAATCCTTTTTATCCTCCATTTGAAAAACCTTTTTGCAAGATATGAAATATTTTTGATGCTATGGCCTTTCCAAATACAAAAAGGTCTACGCAAGATGTGTATACTGTATGTATAATTCCTTATGTACATTCAGGGCCGCCAAAAGGGGAAACTGTAACAGGCGCAAGGGTTGGTGTGGGCCCCCAGTTACGAGCGTGAAGCACGAGAAAGATTGTACGATTGATAGGGCCCTGTCAATCTGGAGGAGCCCATTATTAGGGGACCCATGACATTATTGAGGGCCCATAATAGTAATTATTTTTGAAAAATATATGGGAAATGCTACCTGCAATTTTTATGGGCCCCTGGTAAACTAGGGCCCTGGGGATCTTTTCCTCCTTCCCTCTCTTGGTGGCCCTGTGTCTGTCTCTTATACACATCTAGATGTGTATAAGAGACAGGGTTTTTAATTCGAAACCTTCCTGTGACCTTACCCCGATTTGCAAGAACAAGAAGAATCGATGAGATTTTATGCTGAAATCTCGATGTGAAACCATGGAGATGAATAAGACTTCCGCATTAATCGCCAGCAATTTCCATCAACTTTTAGTGTCATTATTTTAATTATATGAATGTATACTTGCAAATAGTAATTTAGACCTCTTTTTAAGACACTTTCTGATACATTTTTATGATTCGACAGAAACGTAAAACAGATATTGTCCGGAATACCTAACAACCACTCTGTGCCCGCGACCGCACAGCCAGCCATGTTTTCTTCTACAAAATGATGTTGTTTGTGGGACCTTAGCAACAATATCCAAGGGGCGGGGCTTAGCGGAAAGGTCTATTGAGCAGAAACGTTGACAGCCTCTTTCGTAAAGAACTATGCTGTGCTCTTGATGCCCTCATAGCCTGCTTAAAGGTTTGAACGAACCGTTCCACCAGGCCTTGGATGATACTGGGCAGAAGTTGTATGTCGAATGCCGTTGGCTTCCATAAACCGTTTGTATGTATGTGCGATAAACTGCGGACCATTGTCCGTTACCAACTGTTCTGGCAACCCATTCCTCGCAAATACACTCCTCAATATTTCAATGGTTTGTTCACTTGAGGTTGCTGACATTTCAATCACCTCTGGCCACTTAGAATGTGCGTCCACTAAGAGGAGGAACATTTTCCCCTCAAATGGTCCTGCGAAGTCTGCATGCACCCTTTTCCATGGTCTTTGGGGCCACTCCCATGGATGGACTGGGGCTGCTATAGGCATGTTTCTGTTAGCCTGGCATCCGGTACATCGCTTTGTAACTTCCTCTAGTTCATGATCGATACCAGGCCACCATACAAAACTTCTGGCGAGCGATTTAATTTTAACCACGCCCATGTGTCCTACATGAATTTCTTCTAATACTCTTTGCCTTAGCTTCTCTGGAACGATGACTCTAATTCTCCAAATCAGACATCCTTGATGAACTGACAGTTCTGTTCTCCTATTGTAAAAAGGTGTCAGTTCCTTACATACCAGTGTTGACCAACCTCTCATTACTGCATCAAACACTTTTGACAATGTCATATCCTTAACGGTTTCTCTCTTAATGTCGTCGCTGGTCAATGGTAAATTATCAATTTGCGACATTAGAAACACATGTGTTGCATCGTATTCCTCTTCCTCTACATGCATCTGCTTGGTCAGAAGACGAGATAGCTCATTAGCATTGCCATGACCCTTAGTGCACTTGTATTTGATTTGGTACTGGAACCCCGCAAGAAATAGGGTGTATCTTTGTAGCCATACTGCCGTTGTTATTGGGATTCCCTTCTGAGGGTGAAAGATGGACACCAAGGGCTGATGATCAGTCACCAGTGTAAAAGTTCTCCCAAATAAATATGCGTGAAACTTCTTCACCGCCCAAACAATCCCCAGTGCTTCTTTGTCAATTTGAGCGTAGTTCCGCTCCGCTCTCGTTAATGACCTGGAAACAAAAGCAATAGGTCTTTCTGATCCATCTGCGAATGTGTGTGACAGTACTGCCCTAGCCCATAGGGTGAAGGGTCCGATGCAACTTTTACCGGTTTTTTTAGGGTCGTAGTGTGTTAACACCAAATCTGAAGTCATAGCATCTTTGACTTCCTGAAATACTGTACCTGTTCACAAGCTTGTGACCACTGCCACTTACATCTGCTTCCAGCAATTGGTGTAGAGGTCTTAACATGGTAGCTAGTCAGTGTTATGTCTCTCATTCACTCACTGAGACAAATGAACAACAAAGCCACATCTAAGTAATCCAAAC